CTATGGTTAAGGTGTAGTTTCTATGGTTAAGGTGTAGTTTCTATGGTCCAGGTGTAGTTTCTATGGTCCAGGTGTTGTTCCTATGGTTAAGGTGTAGTTCCTATGGTTAAGGTGTAGTTTCTCTGGTTAAGGTGTAGTTTCTCTGGTTAAGGTGTAGTTTCTATGGGAAGAAAAACAATAAACCCCCGGGCGCTGTCAGTAGCTGCCCACTGCTCCACCTGAGTGTATCCCAGGTGTGATGGTTAAATGCAGAGAACCAGTTTGACCACTGGGGGGAACATACAATGATAACATGGCACATTTATTATTTATTTAAAAGCATCAGCAGAGTGAGGAGGTCCAGTGGTCAGTTTGTCTTCCAACACTCTAAGCCTATAGCAGCAGAACTGAGGGACAGCTCAGGAAACCCAAGTCGACCTTTACTATAGGATTTATCAAAAAGAAAATCTTCATCCTGGTTTTAAACACGTGTCAGACAGAAACTGGAAGTTGGTTCCACAAGAGAGGAGCCTGAGAACTGGAAGATCTTCCTCCCATTCTGCTGCTGGAAACTAGGAACCACGAGTAAACCTGCAGCCTGAGAGTGAAGTGCTCTGTTAGGAAAATATGGAACAGTAATGTCTCTAATATAAGATGGAGCCTGCACACACACACACGCACGCACGCACACACACACGCACGCACACACACACACACACACACACAGTCAGGTGGTTCATGTCTGAACTGTGAGTGATGTTCAGCCTTTCAGAGTCCTCCATCGATACACATGACACAACAAAACATCCTTCTCCATTTACACACACACACACACACACACACACACACACACACACACACACACACTTCATCTGAGGCGAACAGCTTCCATTTCCAGGTTGGGATGATGAATTATGGAACGTGGAAACTGGATTCTTCAGAGTGACCTTGGATGTTCGGCCGAGGCGTCGTTAACACCTCCTCCTCCTCCTCCTCCTCCTCCTCCTCCTCCTCCTCCTTGTTTTATCTGCTGAACTCAGGCTGACCATAATCTTTAAATGTTGTTTTAAAAACATTCATCTGTCAGTTTAAACATGACATTTCTCCAAAGGCTTCATGAGTCGTGCAGAACGTCTCCTGGTCCTGGACGAGTTCGATTGTTTCTGTTGTCGGAACAGGAAGTGGATCCTTCGTAATAATTTATTTAATGGTTTTCTGGGAAGACGGTTTCTTGGACTGCACTAAGTTTAATATCCATCCATCCATCCATCCATCCATCCATCCATCCATCCATCCATCCATCCATCCATCCATCCAGTCAGTCAGTCAGTCAGTCAGTCAGTCAGTCAGTCAGTCAGTCAG